AGATAGATAGATAGATAGATAGATAGATAGATAGATAGATAGATAGATAGATAGAGAGGGAGATAGAGATTGAAAGAGAAAGAAAAGGAAGAGAGAGATAGTGAACGCCCTTTTTATTGAGGAAATTAGTCATAGTGACGAAGAGGGCACAGGGGTGGAAAGTGACGAATGAAGTGTAGTGACTAGTGTGATGGTTTTGGTGGTGGTGGTGGGGGTGGTAGAGCTGGTATGTGGTAGTAGTGGTGGTGTTGTGATGGTGGTGGTGGTCGTTGTAGTGGTTTGCGTAGTGGTAGTGGTAGTGGTGGTGGTATTTGTGGTAGTGGTGGTGGCAGTGGTGGTGGTAGTGGTGGTGGAAGTGGTGGTGGTGTTGTGGTGATGTTGGTGATGGAAGTGGTGGTGGTCGTTGTAGTGGTTTGGGTAGTGATGGCGTTAGTGGTGGTGGTATTGGTGGTAGTGGTTTTGCTGGTGGTAGTGATGCTAGCGGTAGTAGTGATGGGGGTGGTCTTTGTAGTGGTTGAGGTGGTGGTGGTGGTGGTGATGGTAATGCTAGTGTGTAGTGGTACTGGTATTGTTGTTGATGTTGTTGTGGTAGTGGTGGTCGTTGTAGTGGTTTGAGTAGTGATGATGGTAGTGGTGATGATATTGGTGGTAGTGTGATGCTAACGGTAGTGGTGGTTGTAGTGGTAGTGGTTTTGTTGGTGGTGTGCGGTGGTAGTGGCAGTTGGAGAGGGGGGGTGGACTCGGTGAAAGTAGGGCCGTGGATGAGGATCTCGTTTAGTGAGCAAACATTCTAGTGTCATTTTGTCATCAGTTGGAGTGAGCGAAAGGTTGTTGATTGGGGTGTATTTGTGAGGGGGAAAGGGTGTGGATGAAGGGATATGAGAGAGTGGAGAAGCGAAGGAGTGGAAGGGGGTGTAGGGAGTGATCGTGACATTTACTTAGTGCGGGCTGTACTTCGGTGTGTGACAGTTGTTGCACAGCAATTACGAAATGGATCCAGACAAGCCTAATAGCGCGCCGGTCTGAGTGAGCACTCAAGTACCCTGCGTGTGTGTGTGAGCACGAGCCTGATGTACAGGCAAACGGCCGGTCATGCTTCCGAGGTCTGCTATCGGGGCTGTCAGGGCGGCGCACGGCTCTGTCATTCTGTGCCCGGGTTTTATCTGTGGCGAGTGATCATTAGTGTCGGAGGCGCTTTTAGTTTGTTTGCTGTAGTTAAACGCGCTCGAACGTTATAATGTTGTTTTGCCGATCACCTGTTGGGCCCACTTTCATATTCATCCTTCGCTCTTTCTCTCTCTCTCTCTCTCT